AAGGGATGGTTGTTTGGAGAAGAACCTATGTAATGTATTAGAAATCAATGTGGAAAAGTGTGTGTATATATATTGTAACATTTGTTTAGCACTCTGCAATGAGTTATGGTTGGAGGTTTCCTTTTGGAAAAGCAGTTTTTCCTTGCTGTTCACCATTAATCAAAAATAATAATGTGTTTCCTACCTGGAAGACCTCAGTGGCAACCCTGCGAATAGCCACTGAAGGATTCTGAGTGTTACAAAGGGCTTCTAGGCTGCCAATCTTTTGCTTACATACTAGGCAGTTAGATGGGAGAACGTTCTCCAGGGCCAACAATTTCTTTGTTAGTATTTCTAGACAACAGTTTCCCAAGATCTCAGGAGATTTTTAAACCTGTTTTTTTTAACAAGCAAATAAAGACATAAACAGAATAAAACAAAAACAAACAGAATAACTGGTTCAAATAGGGACGGAGGAAAATATATTCAGTAATTTAATGTGTTTGCATTTTAATGACAACCTACTTAATTTACACTTTCTGGACTGAAATACAGTTATCATTCAGTATTTGCCCTTCTTTGAGTTTTGCAATGCAATGGCAATGCTCACAAAAATGCATGTATTAGGGAAACAGGTGCACACAGGTATGTATTTCAGTGAAAATAATGGTATAAACATGACTTATAAGTGGGAAAATAACACATTAAATATGCATGTATAAGATAAAATTGGATACAATATGTGTGCATAAAGAAAGATGCTTATGCAAATACATATGAATTTTCATGCAGTCTTTTCTTTTTTAAAAAAATCAAATTGATACAGAAACATGACTAAATCTACTTAAGAAAGAAAAAAAAATAAAAGAGAAGAGAAACAAATTGACACAATTACTGATCCTTAGACAGACAATCCATAGAACAATCTACCACAAATTTTGACTGAATGGAGGCCAAAGCAAAGCAAAGCAGCTTCATTTATATACCGCTTCATATCGCGCTATGGGATGTCTAAGCGGTTTACAACTGTAAGCTTATTGCCCCCCAACAATCTGGGTACTCATTTTAGCGACCTTGGAAGGATGCAGGCCTGAGTCAAGCCTGAGCCCTGGCTAGTATTGAACTCACAACCTTGTGGTCTATGAGGGAGTGGCTGCAGTACAGGCATTTAACCACTGCGCCACCAGGGCAACAAAGAGATAACTACATAGATTTACTCTAACAAACAGTAGCAAAGAAATAAGGATGCCCTCCACTCCTTGTTTCCAGTGAAGATTGTAGGAGTGTAGGAGAGATGACAATTGTTCGTGAACCTTAGATCTAGTACATTGGTAAGAAAGTATCTGAGATTCATCACAAAAATTGCTTGTGATCTGTCCAAGCATTGGGATCCCAAACTCATAAGGAGAAAAACTGCAATAACTGCAGAATCAAGATATATATATTTGTTTACTTTTCCTTTCTCGGTATAACTTTCTTTTTAAGAAACTTTATAGGAAAAATTATATTGCTGCTTTGAATCCTATGTTGGAAGAAAGGTAAGATACAAATTAATTTTTTTAAAAAAGTAATACAGAACTAAATGTAAAACCAAAGTTAAACCTTTCTGTCCCCTAAACACATGATACACATGTAAGCTCATTTTGCCACCCCATAAAGATACAAAAGCATAAATAATTCAGTTTTGATTCTGAAAAATAAATCCAAGTGCTTCGGGAAACTACTCAGGTCTAGAAACCTCAATATCCATCTACAACTTTCTCAGGCCAACTCATGCATCTGCTAAAGGTCAGGGTAAATTCTGTGTGAGATTACGGAAGCTGCATTTTCAAAGGCAGTAAGTAGGAGTAAGAACTTTTCAATGGGACGTCATTTGCTCCGGTGCTCCCACATAAAAAGGTAAAGGTATTCTCTGTTGACAAGGTTGTCAAATTGTCCAAACATAGAGGGTGGTGCTCATCTCCATTACTAAGCCAAAGAGCCAGTGTTGTCAGAGACTACTCTATGATCATGTAGCCAGCATGACTGCACAGAACGCTGTTTACCTTCCCATCAAAGTGGTACCTATTGATCTACTTGCATTTGCATGCTTTCAAACTGCTAGGTTGGCAGAAACTGGGACTAGTGATGGGAGCTCACCCCATCATGTGGCACCTGGGCCTTGAACTGCCAACCTGCTGATCTTGCAATCAACAGAGTCAGCATCTTAACCACTCGAGCCAGCACATCCCACAAGTAAATACTATTTTTGTGGCCTCCTAGGATCTTTTTGTCAGTTCCTAGGGTCCAAGAAAAAGTCTGATGCCACAAGCAAGCCTAGAAATCCAGCTGTTTCTTTTCCACTGCAAACTGCTAGGAGGAGAGGAGATTTGCAGGGAGAAAATAGTAATTAGGAATGTGCTCAACCCTTCCCCTACATGCTACCTTGCCCTAGAAACTTCTCCCACTTGCAAGGGTTTCCAGAAGTACATTTGCCACATCAGATTGGACAAATGTATCTGGTAGGGCTACAGAGGAAAACACACACACTTCCTATCTTTCTATAAATCAACCCCTACCCACCCACCATCCCTTCACAATGGAGAAGCAACTGCTGGGACTCTGGCATCTTTTATTCTTGTTAAATGGTGCCTCACTGTTTTATTTTATCTGGTCTTTTTGGTGTGAAGATTTAAAACAGCTCTTCTTCTGGAATCTCCAAAAGTGAGAAATCTAGATTTTCCAGGAAATCTTGCAGAGTTCTACATTGGCAGTCGTTGGGGTATTTTTTAAAAAAAGAAAAGAAATCACTTTAACTACTTTGTATCTTTGCAAAGACTGATAACAGCTACACTCATTTTGACTAGGGATGAGAAACTTGGTTAGATCTGAGGCCCACATTGGAAATCTATAAAGAGCTTGATGGCTGCACCTGATTTGCACATTGTGGCTCTATGCAGTCAGCATAATTTGCACACTGTTTTCACAAACACAGCGCATGTCAAACTACTGTTAGTGAGTGTATTCTGCTTATTCTACAAAATTCTGCAGTTGCCACTCTCAAAATGCAAAAACTGCTACCGGCTAATGCGGTTACCCTTCTGGAACCCTTTATTATTCTGCTGATGGTGAAAGTGTGTGCTTATTAGAACAGGGAAACAAAAGCTGAACATCCTTCAATATGGAGGGTGCTTGTTTCTGTAATGAATATGGTACATTCATTATAGGGTAATATGGTAAAATTGTCTGCCCATCCCATCCCATAAGTATTTACTGGTATGCCATTGACTGGAATAATGAAAGTATATTGATGGGTCTTTATAACATGTTTGAATTTTGTCTTGGCTCCATTACATTATAGATTTCACCTTTTATCACATAGCACTGTGGATCATTCCCACTGTGCAGCTTTCTTATTTGGCTTGATTTTTATCTCATTATCCTAATAAGCACATGCTATTATCTTTAGGAATAATAAGACATAGCATACTTTGCTAGATGGCCAAATAAATGCAATAAAACTAGCAGCACCATATTTTAGTAAAATGGTAAGGAGATGCAGGGCTACATCAAGACATTTTGCTGCCTGAGGTAGAATAGCAAATGCCTCCCAAATTAAAGTGCATAGGACCCCAAAACCAGACTATCTATTTTGGTACAGCCAATATGAAATCCCTTGAACACCTCTCCCCATCTCTAGTGGTAAAAATAAAATAATAAGTAATGAGACTACTAACATTTTGCTGCTTTTTTAGGATACCCCAAACCTGCTACCTTGCTTTGCCTAATGGTAGGGTTAGACGTAGGAAGACACAAAGTGCTGAATATCGTACCTTCCATCTGCTCCAATGTGGCAAGGATAGTTCCAATTAATCCTCTGTCATTCCACATTTTCAGCTGTTTTCAAAATGTCCCAGTTTCTTTCTGCTTCTCCCACCTTTCCCCTTTGCCCTCAACTTATTTCAAGTGCTGCAAACTAATTTCAAAGGGCAAAAGGAGTTCATACTCAATTAACTCATAAGAAAAGAGAGGATAAAAGGGGCAGAGGTTTGTTCTTCTCAGAAGGGTCAAACAAAAGTAAACTGATGCAGCCTCTCCTATGTTGTGTGTTCTTCATCATTAATAACTTTTCCCATCTTGACTACAGTCTGATCTTGCTTGGACAATGCATCCTAGTTTTCATCTGTGAAATGTTGGATTATATGGGATATCTTATGAACCAACAATTTGGAGAATATCCCATATCCTCCAACATTCAATAATCTTTTCTAGGCTGATGGCCCAGTCTTATGCATGCTTACTGAGAAGTAAACCTCACTATGTGTGTTTGGTACTTCAGGTTTAATCAGACACATAGAGAGGTTTCTGCCCATGCTAGCAGATTCACCACTATAAACCAGTTCTTCCCTGATTCTATTAATAATAATAATAATAATAATAATAATAATAAGTTTTATTTATATCCCACCCCTCTGTCAAGCAATCAGCGCAGCTCACAACAGTTTAAAACTTCATACAATATTAAAATACAATCCAAAATCTCACAACCCTTCCACCACAGTATTGTCCATGAGCTCTGATGGTGTCATTTACTGTACTAAATCAGTTTTTGTACAGTAAATGACACCATCATAGCTCATGGACAATACTGTGCTGACAATGAAACTTAGCTAGCTCTTCCCTGCTTGCTAAGAAATCCTTTCTCTTTGCACACTATCAGGGATATCTATCTAGCAAACCCACAGGCTCACCATGCATGGGTGCATTGTTCTTCAGCCTTCTCAGTGCTTCATTAAAGTTCTTATTTAGCTGAAGCAACTTTCAGAACATCAAGTCACACCATCTCACTACTCTTTGCAGCAACCTTGGACGTCAGCAATAGGGAAAGGACCTTAATTCAATACTTTACGTAGAATCATAGAACTTGCACTTTGCTCGGAAATCTTATGATATAAAGCAGGTCAGAAATATTTCAGTAGAGAAATAATACATTTAATGTATGTAAGGTCTCACATCCAATCCCTAGTGAGTCCAGTTAAAGAACACCTGTACCTCAGTGGTAAAGCACCTGCTTTGGCTGCAGAAGGTCCCAAGTTCAATTCCTGGATGGTTTTTTAAGTCTGTTAAGCTTATTGCATGGCACTTACAAGAATGGGAACGGAACGGAACAGAAGGGAATGGAACAAGCAAAAGCGCATTTTACTGCATAGGAGAACGCCACTGATGCCGCCGGGAGTCCCCAAGGTGTTCCCCAGCAGTTCCTGGCAGCTGATTTTTGAAGGATAGATGGGATCAATGATCTGACTCAGTATAAGTCACATATCTATGTTCCTGTCTCCAAACAGGTCTGGGAAAGACTCCTATCTGAAACCCTGGAAAATTGTTGCCATTCATTGTAAAGAATACTGAACAAGATGATCTGAGTGCATAAGGAAGCTCCCTTTGTTCTCATGACTTCAGGTAGTACAGTGCCTGTGCAGAGTCATTGCCAGAACTAGGCTAGATAAAGGACTATACAGATACACAACCCAGTATGAACTGACACCCTGCATCTTTTTAATATTATCCCCTTTTCACAGCTGGGGTAGTGGGAAATTAAGACTTGCAGTTTGACTATGGCCACCCAATGAGTTGAAAACAATGGAAACATTTAAGGTTGGAATTCCCTACTTTGGAATTTGGGCCACAATCCTATGTAGCTTACCCAGAAATAAGACTGACAGAACACAGTGACACTTACAGCAACACTAAAGTGACCTTATCACTGGGTTTTCTTGGCAGAGTTTGTTTGCCCTTGCCTTCCTCTGAGGCTGAGAGAGTGTGACTTGTCCAGGTTCACCCAGTGGATTTCTATAGCCAAGTGGGGATTTGAAACCTGGTTTCTCAGTATCTTAGTCCAACACTCAAATCACTATACCATGTTTCTTCATACTTTTGAAGAACAATGCATATACCGGTAGTGAACTCTGCTGTAGGCATCCATGCTGTCAACATGGTGAGAGGATTCATTTTCCTTTTGCATTCCCATTAGAACACTAGTGCTGAATCCTGTTTTGCTCCTTTTAGCTTTTTTTAAATATTCAAGCCAAAGAATCGCAAACTGTCATCACAAAGCCCAACATGTCAATATCGCTAATGAAGCACAAGACCCGCAGCATACAATAGAATTAAAATACATTGAACTACCAACTGGATGTCTTTCTGTCAGAATAAAATAAAGAGAACCTGCATATCACACTTGGAAACAAGTTGCTGTTGTTTTTTAGTGGAAGGCAATTTTTTTTGGGGGGGGGGAATGAAACCTCTGACCTTTATGTTACCATCAGCTCAAGTTTCCTGAAGCAGTTCTGATATTCTTCATCTGGATAAAGAGATCATTTTGGGGGATCAAGCCCATTAGCAGTTTATCATTGGGGAAAGCCAATCAAAACAACAATGCTAAATATTGATTTTTTTTACAGCTTTATCTTAATGAAGTACACATTCCTTTAGTAATTAGCTTTTAGAAGTTTTCTCTAAGTTAATGTAGTGTTTGATGTTGCTAAATCGGGAAAGCTGCTGCCACAGATGAAACACTCTTTGATAACCTGGGCAATCTCTTATCTCTTGGTGTCCAAAGAGGAGATTTTCTAACAGAATTCTATATGCCATGCAGATTATTCAACCAGATTGAAAGGGCATAGTTTTGTTTTCTTAAAAAGCAATAGTCTGCATAGTAAGACTCTGAAAAAACAAATGCAAGGGTGAGCGATTTCAGAAGGCATGGAAACCCATTTGTGCTTTTATGCCTCCACTGCAGGCAAATCATTTGGACCAAAACTTGCCAAAAAATGGAAGCAGGAATTGACTCAACATCACTTCCAGTGAGAATGCCTGGGCATTTCCTGCTGATTGTCACTGGCTGGCTTTTTTTGGATTTAAGTTTTGGAGGTTAAGGGCCTCGGCAGACGGAGGCCCTGGAGACGCCGCGGGTCGGAGCGC